TATATATATACACATATACATACACACACACGCACACACATTTGAGCTCTCACAACTCAGTTTCATTGAATTCCAGTTTCCCTCTTGGTCTGAGCCCAGCCCAGCTGGCTTGATAGGTCTCTGAGACAGTGTTACAGGGGCTGGCAGTACCCTACTACACCAGCCACCTCCCAGGCCTTGGCTCCCTGGGTAAGGAGGAGGAGAGGTGGCTGCCTGTGATGTTGGAGAGAAAGAATGGGCAGCAAGTTCAGAGGCCAAAGAAAGCCATTCAAGCAGCCGCAAACTCCATGTACACGCCAGTCCCAGACACATGAATATTTATATATATATTTATATTGTTTAATAATTATATAATTCTACTATATTTCATATAATATAGAATTCTATTGTTTAATAATTATAAATCTATAAACTCATGATTATAAACTGTTCTGAAAATTGTAACTAGTTTCTCTTTGGTATAGATTTCAAGTAGATCTTACATAAAGATTTTAAATTTTAGTAACATTTAACATATGAAGATTCCATATTAATATACAAATTTCTGATTACCTCTAAATATCTAGTTGCACTGAATGATTATTATTTTATCCCTAAAAATATAAAACAAGAAACAGTGCTTGGGACTAAATAGTAATTCTATTGACTTAGTGCTTTCATTCTCTAATTTCCCATATTATTTATTTTTTATCATTTGTTTCCATATCTAGTTATTACTGGCACCTACTTTCATGCACTTTTTATGTCAAGTGGCACAAAAATGATTAGATGAAAATATCTTTGAAAAAGTTGAACTGAAATCAACTATGGTGTGTTTAAGAACAAATTATTGTAGTAAAAGACACGCGGCCATTAATCCCCCTAATATTGCCCCAATTCAGACACACATAATCTATTATTCTTGTGACTTTCTGAAGTCGTTCTGGGAATTTACTTTCTTGTCTTTACATGGTGTGAACACAAACTACAGTGAATACTGCTGTTGAGTGCCATCCCATGGAAACAGTCTCAATAAAACATTTGGGCGTGTCCTCATTCACCCATTCACTGTATCTGACATCATGTGACTTCTGTACCTTTCCCAAACTCAAAATGACCAAGAAAGATAAACATTTTTAATCAATTCTGTATATTTAAGCAGCCATAACAGTGCAACAAAAGACATTTATGAAAAAGAGCTTTGAGAAGTGCTTCAAAAAGTGGCAGGAAAATTGGAATAAGTGTGATGGAAGCAAGGAGAGTGTTTTGAAGGAGATTAATGACAATGTGTTTTTCACTGTAATACAATGGCTATTTAAATTTTATTTCAGTTTTAAAAACATCTTGTATATATCTCCTCATTTCAAAGAGAAAATTTTGTTCACAGAATGTTATTTCACATTTTTCCGTTTATACTATATTGATACTATAATTTATCATGCTAAGGCAATGGGGTTTCAGTATAACTAAACAATCTACTCTTCTACTTCTTATTCTAGAATTCTTTGGTAAAAATCCAATAAATTTTGTGGTAGCATTTTGCATTATTAATAGCCAGGATTCTTCAATACATGCATCCCTTTCACTGACTATACAGGATATGGCATATGAATAGGAAGGGTATATGAATATGCCCTCTGAATAGGCATGCAATAGCTTAGACTTCAGAGATAAAAAAAATTACCAGCTAAAATGATTCTGTAGTTCTACCTTAAATGATTACAATTGAAGATATTGAAATCAATTTATCACTAGGATAAGTGAGATACTTATTCTTTAAACTTTACTCAGCCACAAAATCTGAGGCTAACAGTCAAGTGATTTTCACGAGATCCAGTGAGTTTTAAAGTGGAGGTAGGATTCATATAGAAGTGGTTTTTATATG